ATATTCATTAGATAGAATAGACATATCATCTTTGGAGGACCATTGAAATTGAATCTAACGAAATTAACTGCGCGAAGTTGTAGATATTTGAACTAAATTTTATACAACCAATACAGATACAATCTGAAATCTCTGAAAAATTTAATGTCAATCATCGAGCAAAATATGTATAAGATCTATATATAAATGGATGTCTTTGAGCAACCGTGACATCCGCCATTAGGTATGCTGCAACACTATGCGTTATCCAAAATTTATCTCGACACAAAATCCAATACACATTATTCTAGGTTCGTTGTGCACTAATTCGTCTTAAGCGGACAAACTTTAGTTATTTGGTACATCATTTTGATGAAATCGGATGAAAATATATATGGAAGCTTTATTTAAATCAATCCAATGCGCTATGCAATATTTCATGTAAAGCGAACAGACATAGGCTCCTCCATTTGCACCAATTACCTAAAATCGGACGAAACTGTATATAGGAGCTATATCAAAATCAGAACCGATTCCAACAAAACTTCGCTGACATCAATCTGGACCTAATTCAGTACTCTGTGCAAAATTTTGTCTCAATCGGACCAATATTGGGAGTTTGGTGCACCATTTACCTAAAATCGAACGAAACTATATATGGGAGCTATATCTAAATCTGAACCGATTTCAACAAAACTTGACATACATCAATACTCTGTGCAAAATTTTATCTCAATTGGACCAATAAGTGATATGTACCAAATATCACTCAAATCGGATCATAAATGCGACCTACTTTGATCACAAAAATACATGGACGGACGGACAGACATACATGCATTTATAATTTTTAGTGGAGACATTTTGGTACCCAACAAGAAACAAATTTACCAAATTTCAGCGAATTCGGTTGAAAATCGCACTCAAGAACCTCAAAAAACCAAATTAGGGGGTTGTGGTGTTACCCTTATATGGGAGCTACCAGAAAAATCGACTTATATTTATAATTTTTTGTGGAGATATTTGGTACCCAACAAGAAACCCAATTTACAAAATTTGAGCGAATTCAACCGCCCAAGAACCCAAAAGTTACAAACGGAAAAACAAAATTAATATACCCTACATTCTATGGTGAAGGGTATATAATCCACGATTTAAAATGCCTTGAAAAAATATTTTTTAAAAAATCCACGCCTTTGTAAAGGCCTTGAAAAAATATTCTTTAGAAAATCCACGGTTTAAAAGGCCTTGAAAATATTATATAAAAATCCACGCCTAAAAGGCCTTGAAAAGAATAAATCTAAAAAATCCTCGCCTTAAAAGGCCTTGAAAAAATGTTCTTTAAAAAAACTCTCCTAGAAAAATATTTTTTAAAAATTCATGTCTTGAAAAATATGTTTTATTATAATTAACATACTACAAAAAAATCAAATTTCCCCCAAAATGTTTCCTATTGAATCCCCTAACTAAGAACACTAACAATAAAATGTTTCAAACCCCTCGCATTTAAATAATACATTTGTTTTTTCATTTCTTTTGCAAAATTACTGAAGATGGTTCATTTATTGGACAATATGTACCGGGTAAACTACAACCACCTGTAAGTCCACAACCGGCTAATAATACAGCAGCTGCCCAACAGCGCCCAATGCGGCCGCAGCAGCAACAACGGCTGCTGGTCGTACAGGAACTGCTGCCAATGCAACAGCTGCTGCGGGTACAAATACGGGTGCTAAATTTATGTTTAAGAAGAAAAGCGAAAGAAAAATTTATTTATGAAAAAATAATAATTGTGAAATTATAAAAGTCCATACAAAGAAATAGATTCCTAAATCTAAAACAACAATTTATAATTACATAAAACATCTGGAAAGAGAAATGAAATGAAGCGCAATTGAAGAATGAAAAAAGAAAGAAAAACACAACAGAACTAATTTAAAAGTTTGCTTCTTTTTTCAAAAACAAAACAAAAAATATATAAAATGCTTAAACGATATTTTATTATTTAAAAAAGAAAAAACAAAATTATATTTAATGTGTATATTATTTTGCTTCTTTTTACTATATTAAGTATAACCAAAATAAAATAAAACACACACCCACACAAAAAAAACATATTCTAAAATTAAAAAAAAAACAAATGATAAAGAATAATTGTAATAATTGTATTCTAGATTATCTTTTTCATAATGAAATAAAACAAAAATAATTATACACTTCCAACCTTTACTGCCAAAACAAAAAAAAAAAACAAACAAATGATAAAAAATAATTGTAATAATTGTATGTACTATATATAAAAAATAATAATTTTTTAAATATTATAAAAAAATAATAATTAATATAATTTATTGATTATCGTTTCGTGGTCTACGTACACGCCTTAATAGGTCTTGAAAAAAATCTTCCTTAAAAATCCATGCCTTAATAGGTCCTGAAAAAATATTCTTTAAAAAATTAAAAAGGCCGTGAAAAAATATTCTTTATAAAACTAAATCTAAAAAAATATTTTCTAAATAAGAAAAAAATATTAAAAAAAAAAAAAATGACCTTAGTTGGATCTTCAAAAAATATGTGTCCTTTGCATGTAGATATTTCCCTGCAGAAAATTGACTTTTGAAGTTTGTTTTTTTTTAACGATTTTTGGCGTGGGAATTTTTTGATTTGTTTTGAAAACAGACTTTTGATATGTTTTTTTGAATTGCCAATAATTAATAGCATTTTCCTGGTCTATATGTGTATAAGATGAATATAACAAAAATACATAAAAAAAATATAAAAAAAATTCTTAAACAAAAATAATTTCGAAACAAATGGATGTTTTTTTTAACATATGTATAAAATACATACTATGAATAATTTATATAAAAAAAATTATATATAAATGTCAATTAAGCAAACAATATTTAAATTAATTATTAAATATTTATTTTTTCTTTTCTTTTTGTATTATTTGGTTGTTTTTATATTTTATAATTGAATGAAAATTGTATATTTTAAAGCAATTTTTTAAAAATGTGTTGTTTTATTTCCCTTAATTAAAAAAAAAAAATTGTTTTATTTTCGTAAAAAAATATTAAAAAAAGATTCACCATTGGCATGGAAAAATATACTTTGCCGTAATATAAAATTTAAAATTGTTTAATTTTTTTCTATTAATGAACACAACATTTAGTTTTGTTTTTTTTTTTAATTAGTATTTAAAACAAAGTTCAAAGGTATTATAGGTCGTGAGTGATTTTGGAATTATATTAAAATAAATTATTTGTATAACTATAATAATTTAATTCTAAATCATGACGACTCATAATAACACTTTGTTATTTAGTTATTTTTTTAAATAAAATTGGAATTTCTGTGACTTTTATTTATTCTGTTTTATTTCTTTTTGTTACAAAATTACATTTATATATAATTTTTTTTTATATAAATTATTCGAACTTATTATGTATTTTATACATATGTTAAAAAAACATCCATTTGTTTCGAAATTATTTTTGTTTAAGAATTTTTTTTATATAGGGATTTTTTTATGTATTTTTGTTATATTCATCTATACACATATAGACCAGGAAAATGCTATTAATTATTGGCAATTCAAAAAAACATATCAAAAGTCTGTTTTCAAAACAAATCAAAAAATTCCCACGCCAAAAATCGTTAAAAAAAAACAAACTTCAAAAGTCAATTTTCTGCAGGGAAATATCTACATGCAAAGGACACATATTTTTTGAAGATCCAACTAAGGTCATTTTTTTTTTTTTAATATTTTTTTCAAGAACCATATATTTAGAAAATATTTTTTTAGATTTAGATTTTATAAAGAATATTTTTTCACGGCCTTTTAGGGCGTGGATTTTTTAAAGAATATTTTTTCAGGACCTATTAAGGCATGGATTTTTAAGGAAGATTTTTTCAAGACCTATTAAGGCGTGTATGGGTGGCGTAGGAGGCCACGAATACGATGAAAAGATCAAGTCGAAGACATCATTGCCGAAAATGGTTTTTCCAATTGGAAAAAAAACGTAAAAGACCGACGCGCCTGGAAATCTTTTCTAAGCTCGGCTTATGGAACGAAAGTTCTGTCACAAGCCAGCTAAGTAAGTAAGTTAAGGGTATTGAACATTTTTTTATAATTCTTAAAAAATATTAATACAAACAAACGCTATAGTGGCTCTTGAAAAAAAAGCAATCATTAAAAATATTTTTAAAAAAGAAATCGATTGTTAAAAAACGAGGAATTTCCAACGTCTCCGATTATTTTTTCAAACTTTTTTACTATACATACATAGTGGTCCCTTCAGATGGGAATATTTTTGATTTGTATTGAATACTAGAAAGTGGCAGTAAAGTTACTGGAGTCATTGAGGGGAATATTCTCTTACAAATTTGGGAAATAAACTTAAAGTAATTTAAAATATTTTGTTTTATTTTTCATTATGACAAAAGATAATCAATAAATTATATTAATTATTATTTTTATAATATTTAAATTATTATTTTTTATATATAGTACATACAATTATTACAATTATTTTTTATCATTTGTTTGTTTTTTTTTTTGTTTTGGTAAAGGCTCAAGTGTATAATTATTTTGTTTTTTGAAAATTGTCTTAGAAAAATTCTATATTTTTTATAATTTTAGAATATGTTTTTTGTGTGGGTGTGTGTTTTATTTTATTTTCGTTATACTTAATATAGAAAAAAGAAGCAAAATAATATACACATTAAATATAATTTTGTTTTTTCTTTTTTAAAATAAAATATCGTTTAAGCATTTTATATATTTTTTGTTTTGTTTTTGAAAAAATAAGCAAACTTTTAAATTAGTTCTGTTGTGTTTTTCTTTCTTTTTTCATTCTTCAATTGCGCTTCATTTCATTTCTCTTTCCAGATGTTTTATGTAATTATAAATTGTTGTTTTTTAGATTTAGGAATCTATTTCTTTGTATGGACTTTTATAATTTCACAATTATTATTTTTTTCATAATTCCACGTAAATTTTTCTTTCGCTTTTCTTCTTAAACATAAGTTGCCACAGCACCCGTATTTGTACCCGCAGCAGCTGTTGCATTGGCAGCAGTTCCTGTACCACCAGCAGCCGTTGTTGCTGCTGCGGCCGCATTGGGCGCTGTTGGTGTATGGGCAGCTGCTGTATTATTAGCCGGTTGTGGACTTACAGGTGGTTGTAGTTTACCCGGTACATATTGTCCAATAAATGAACCATCTTCAGTAAATTGTCCTGCAAAAAGAAATGAAAAAAACAAATGTATTATTTAAATGCGAGGGGTTTGAAACATTTTATTGTTAGTGTTCTTAGTTAGGGGATTCAATAGGAAACATTTTGGGGGAAATTTGATTTTTTTGTAAGTCATGTTAATTATAATAAAACATATTTTTCAAGACATGAATTTTTAAAAAATATTTTTCAAGGCGAGGTTTTTTAAAGAACATTTTTTCAAGGCCTTTTAAGGCGAGGATTTTTTAAAGATTATTTTTTCAAGGCCTTTTAAGGCGTGGATTTTTTATATAATATTTTTTTCAAGGCCTTTTAAACCGTGGATTTTCTAAAGAATATTTTTTCAAGTCCTTTTAAGGCGTGGATTTTTTAAAAAATATTTTTTCAAGGCATTTTAAATCGTGGATTATATACCCTTCACCATAGAATGTAGGGTATATTAATTTTGTTTTTCCGTTTGTAACTTTTGGGTTCTTGGGCGGTCGAATTCGCTGAAATTTTGTAAATTGGGTTCTTATTGGGTACCAAATATCTCCACAAAAAATTATAAATATAAGTCGATTTTTTCTGGTAGCTCCCATATAAGGGTAACACCACAACCCCCCCTAATTTGGTTTTTTGAGGTTCTTGAGTGCGATTTTCAACCGAATTCGCTGAAATTTGGTAAATTTGTTTCTTGTTGGGTACCAAATGTCTCCACTAAAAATTATAAATGCATGTATGTCTGTCCGTCCGTCCATGTATTTTTGTGATCAAAGTACAGGTCGCATTTATGATCCGATTTGAGTGATATTTGGTACATATCACTTATTGGTCCAATTGAGATAAAATTTTGCACAAAGTATTGAATTAGGTCTAGATTAATGTATGTCAAGTTTAGTTGAAATCGGTTCAAATTTACATAGAGCTCCCATATATATTTTCGCCCGATTTTAGCCAAATGGCGTACTACACCCCAATATTGGTCCAATTGAGATAACATTTTGCACAGAGTATTGAATTAGGACTAGATTAATGTATGCCAAGTTTAGTTGAAATCGGTTCAGATTTAGATATAGCTCCCATAAATAGTTTCGTCCGATTTTAGGTAAATGGTGCACCAAACTCCCAATATTGGTCCGATTGAGACAAAATTTTGCACAGAGTACTGAATTAGGTCCAGATTGATGTATGCCAAGTTTGATTGAAATCGGTTCAGATTTAGATATAGCTCCTATATACAGTTTCGTCCGATTTTAGGTAATTGGTGCAAATGGAGGAGCCTATGTCTGTTCGCTTTACATGAAATATTGCATAGCGCATTGGATTGATTTAAATAAAGCTTCCATATATATTTTCATCCGATTTCATCAAAATGATGTACCAAATAACTAAAGTTTGTCCGCTTAAGACGAATTAGTGCACAACGAACCTAGAATAATGTGTATTGGATTTTGTGTCGAGATAAATTTTGGATAACGCATAGTGTTGCAGCATACCTAATGGCGGATGTCACGGTTGCTCAAAGACATCCATTTATATATAGATCTTATACATATTTTGCTCGATGATTGACATTAAATTTTTCAGAGATTTCAGATTGTATCTGTATTGGTTGTATAAAATTTAGTTCAAATATCTACAACTTCGCGCAGTTAATTTCGTTAGATTCAATTTCAATGGTCCTCCAAAGATGATATGTCTATTCTATCTAATGAATATTGTACATATGAGCATCTCTTGTATGTACCCAAAGTGGTGAAGGGTATAATATAGTCGGCCCCGTCCGACTTTTGAACTGTCCTTACTGGTTTATATTAAAAAAGTTATCTGATTTGTTCCGCGTTTTGGGTTTGGTTCTAAGATTCTGTTGTAATTATTTCACCTGCAGAGGATTTCGAGAACTTTGAACTATAGTCCACATTTAGACCTAGCCCGGCCGAACATTATGCTTTTTTCACTTGTTAAAGAATATTTTTTTCAAAAAAATTATATATTTGCAAAAAGTGTTATCGTTTCAACTCAGTTATATTCGGAGGATATGGAGAACGTTGAATTATAGTCCACATTTAGACCTAGCCCGGCCGAACATAACGCTTTTTTCACTTGTTAAAGAATACTTTTTTTTTAAATTATATATTTGCAAAAAGTGTTATCGTTTCAACTCAGTTATATTTTACATAGGTCCAAGAAAAAATTATAAAATATTTAAAAAGAGTGACAATAACAAACAAAAAGTAAAATCAAAATTTACTACCTTTGTGATATTTTTGTTGTTTTTTCTATAAAACATGCTCAGTGTATTTTCGAAATTAAAATTCAAATATTAAATAATATTTACAGGCTATAGAAATAAACAAAATCAAATGAAAATAATATTGAAATACATTACCAAATGAAAAAATAAAATGTAAATAATAAAGAAATATTTTTTTGTTTCTTTTTTTATTTGATTTTTTACGATTTTTGTGTTTTCTTATTTTTGTTTTAAAAAATATTGTATAGTATTATTATAATAATACGCTAAAAAGAGGTACAAATTTAACTTAACTAAAAAAAGTTAAATTTACATTACAAATTATTCTTTTTGTTTTCTTTGTTGTTTTTGATTTGTTGTTTTGTCGTATTGGTTTTTGTTTTTACTGTTACTAATACATAAAAAAATGAAAATAATTATGTTAAGGTTATTATATATATAAAGTTTATATATATTTAATTACAGTTACAAGAAAAAACATAAACAGAAAAATTAAAAAAGGACATAGAGAGCATGGAGACTTATTACACATATACATATATAAAAACATAAAAAAAATATTAAAATAAAATAAAAAAAATACATAGATTTATTGTTGTTATGGTAACAGGGATGGATGCGCTTTGTAGGTAGATGGTATTACAAAAAATACACTTAGTTTTTATTTATATACTTTTTTTTACTTTAAGCAATAATAAACATTTTTTCTTTAAATTATTATTAAAAAAAAAAACAAAGATTCATACATATATATAGAAAAAAGGAAAAAGACAAATTAAAAATACAAAATAAATTTCTCTTGAACAAAAAAAAATAAAAATTTCAGAAATTTTATTTACTCTTATTTTCCTTTACTACACAATATTAATAGCGAGAGATTGCCAATAAAGATTTGTCGTTTTACAAAATATTCGAGATTGCCTTATAGTTTTTTTTTTGAAAATAAAATATAAAAGAAATTATAAAAAATATTTAGCTGCTGGCAGTAGAGTCAGGGTTTCCTTCATTTTCTTTTACATACAAATATGTTTATAGTATAACTTCCATTGCAGGATGGGGTAGCTCTAAGTAGTGATGATTGTTTGGAATATTAACAAAAATTGTATTGGTTTTGCCAATATTTGGGATTTGGGTTTGATATATAAAAAAATTGGTGGACAATTCTGTTGCTTAGTTTAATTTTTTTTATATATAAAGTTTTTTTATATTAAACTATAATTAAATTTTACGTCCATATTGACCTATAAAAGAACCATCTTCATTCAAACCTAGAGAAGATTTTTTTATAATAAAATAATTATAGAAATAAATTATAATTATAATAAAACACAAGCACAAACACAAAAAGGCAGTAAATAATTAAAAAAAATAAATTTTTCATAATAATAAAAAACCCAAAAAGGAAATATGATTTAATTTACAATAAATTTTACAAATATTTAAAAAAAATATTCAAAATAAAAATAACACAAGTTTTTACAAATATCGATGGTGGTGATGACAAAAAGGCAATAATTAAATAATTTCCATGATAATAAAAATCCCAAAAAGCAAATACAATTTGATTTTCAAAACATTTAAAAATTGTTTCAAAATAAAAATAACACAAGTTTTTACAAATATCGATGGTGGTGTACGTTGGATGATGTCATAGGTGGGAGGTGTAGTTGTTGTTGTCAACACAGGTGATGGTGGTTGTTGTTGTTTTTGGGGTGTCACACACATTTTTGTTGGAATATTTCAAGTTGATGTTGGTTTTTTTTACACACACATAATTCAGGGTGATGATATCAGTGGATGTAGAGTAGAATAAAAACAAACAATAAAAAATGAAGAGAAGGGGAAAAAGAAGAAGAAACAAAATAAATTAATAAATAATAAAAATTAAAAAACTATATAGGTTTGTATTAAAAATTATATAACATAAAAAATTAACACTTTTTTTGCATAAACGGGCATTAATTTAAAACAAATTGTAATTGTAATTAAAATTAAAAATTAACGAAAATATATTTTTATTAAAAAGTATATAACATAAAAAATAAACGGGTATTAATTTAAAAGAAAAAAATGTAATTTTTTTATAATAATTGGCTGTGTTTTTTTTTGCATTTTGATGAAAATGAGCTGAGTTGTATTTTTTTTAATTAATTTGCAATGTTGTTTGTTTTTTTTTTTTGCTGTAGATGATTTTTTTGTTTATGAAAATAATCATGAATGATTGATTTGATTTATTTTTTTAATAGCAGTGTCGAATTATAAAAAAAAACACAAGCATTTGTAACTGTGATCAGTAGAAATTGTAAATGTAAAACAAGCCAGTCAGAGCATGAAATATAATGCCAATTGTCGTTTGCCAAATTTCAATCAAATTAGAAACCATATATAGTTTCGTCCGATTTTATGTAAATGGTGCACCAAAGTCCCTATATACCTTTCGATTTGCACGAAATTTCGCATAACATACTGAATTGAGTGATGACTGCCAAATTTCATGAAAATCGGTCCAGATTTAGATATAGCTCCCACATATACATATATATTTGTCCGATTTTACATAAGTGGTGCACCAATATCCTAATGTTTTCCGATTAACACGAAATTTTTCACAACGTATCAAATTGAGACTTGAATTATGTTATTTGGGTTTTGTTGAAATTGGTGCAGATGCATACCTCCCATATGTATTTCGGACGGGTGTCTGATTGAAAATTAATTTTTAACAGTGCGGTGTACCGTATAGCGTGTATCAATAAATTTGTCCCATGGTCTAAACCTGCACGAATGAAATTAAATTTATCATAAGATTGCAGAAAGACATGAGTATGTTCCTTCGATGGAACATTGACTTGCAGTTGTAAGGATACATATGTAGAATATACCCAAAGTGGTGAAGGGTATCATATAGTTGACCCAGTCCGACTTTACTTACTGGTTAAATAATATTTTTGGTCTATTAACGTGGGATTTTTGATTAAAATTTGTTAAGGTCTAGCAGGGCGAAAAGCGTGAATTTTTAAATGAATTTTCTCCACCCCTTCCACGCCTTATTTTTCCCATCGAAGTGACATAATTTCTTGACATTACGAAGTGGCTGTAATTTGGCTTTCAGGCATATTGATGAACGACTTCTTCACAAAACCTTTTCAACATAATAACATGTTTCTACATAGCCCTCTTACCAATTTTCCAAATTTCCCAATTTTCCAATTTAAATGTTGACATTTTCTAATATATTTTTTAATTTTGAAATATTTTTCGCGGACTTTCAGAGCTGTAAGCGTGAGCAGAGGTGATTAGTGTGCTGAATTACTATGCCTGGTGGCGCAAATAGCCAAATTTTAATTTAATCATGTTCTTATATAAACTTTACAATTTCAGAGGCTTCGACAACTTCAAAGTCAAATTGAGTACTGGCTAAAAAATTTCCCTAGATTTTGGTGAAACTTAGATTTGATGGAATTGTAATTTTTTGTTTTACTTTATTAGTTAGCATTTTAAGGTAGATTTTCTTAAGCAGTTTTAAAATTGCATTTTCAAAAATTATATCGAAAAAAGTGTTGCTTAAAACTTTAGAACTTAGGCAGTTTTTTTATTTGGCTTATTTTAAATGGCAAAGGTGAAAAAAGGCGGCAAAAACATTTTTAAACATTTTCAATCAAACAATTTGAAAATAACGATTTTAACAACATGCATTCAACTTGTGGTTTACCTTTGAAAATAAATTTCTCTATATTTTATTCTTTGGTAAAGTTTGAATTTCTAACGAAATTAATTTTTATTTTGCAAAAATTCTATTTTTTAATGCCAACAATCGATGAGGAGGATGGTGTTGTAGAGGGAACGGCAGAAGCAGTTTCTTCAGCCTGTTCCGACACGGTGGGCAATGATTGTTGTAGTTTACGTGGCCCAGCGGCTGAGCTCATTTTCAACACATAAATGAAGTAATTGAAAAATAAAATTGAAATAAAAATTAAATTAAAAAATATGGAATTAAAAAAATAAATAAATAAAATTATATGTTTATAAATTTTTATAGAAGTTAATTAAAAAAATACATATTCATTTTTTTAACGAATAAAAATATAAATTTTAAAAAATATTAAAAAAAAAAATAATTTAAAATTTATTTAATAATATACTTATACATTTTTTATAATAAAATAAGTAATTATTTTTTATATAATAAATTAAAAAAAATTATATATAAATATAATTATTTTAAGCATCCAACTAAGGTTATAAAGCATTCAATTTTAGTTTTGGAAACCTACCTGTATCACCATCTCCATATTCGGCCATTGAATCGGTATCACTTTCTAGGCCTGGTTTTGCTGAACTAACAGACTGGCGACCAGCGCTCTTGTTGTCCAATCTGAAATTAAAAAATATATACATTTTAATATAATTCCCATATGCTATTGTTTTCACTTAAATTTCCCAAAAACTTACGGTTGTGAGTATTCATGGAAACCACCTTCATCGGGATAGTCGCGTCTGCCATTTGCCAATTCGCGATCATGTACATCGTATTTGCCACCACGATTACGGCGTATAATACAAATAATAATGAACAAGATAATGATAATGGCCAGGGCCAACATCATGCCGATGAACCAGCCGGCATTTGCTAGATTTTCATTGGGCACCTTGATGGGGCCCTCAACAGCACCAATGTCGATTTCTTGAGTTTCACTTTCGGTCATGAAATGACCATCAACGGCGACCACACGGAATTCATAGACAGATTCAGGATCCAAACCGGCAACCTCTTGGTAGTCGCGATTCTTTTCCTCGGGAGTTTGATTCCATTGGGTCTCGCCCTTGATCCTGAGAAGAGAAAATCCAACAATTAAAATATATTCCTTACAAAGGTTTTGAATAAGGTCGTCGCCTACCTGTATTTGGTAAAGAAGTGGGTACCGGCATGGCCCTCACTATTGGGTTTCCAGTTGATGCGGAACTTGGCCAAACCATTGTCCGAGGGTTCTTGGTGATATTCGAAATAGGGTACGGCAGGTTCCTTGGACTCTTCGGTCAATGTGCGTTTTTCAATAAAGTGTCTAAAAAACGAGAAGAAAGCAACGGTTAGAACTTTCTCCTCTCTAAAAAATTAAAAATGTAACTTACTCTGTTCCCTCTCCAGCCTTAGTGGTGGCCGCAATGGAAATCCTATATTTAGTATTTGGTTTCAGGCCAGCCATTTTCATACTTGTCACCCGAGGATCGGTAATATGGGGATCATATTCACGTCGTTCGCCCACATAACTACCTTTAACTTCTTCATAGTAGATTTTATAACCAGTCAATTTACCATTGGGGTTCAAGGGTTTCTTCCATACCAACCAGAAGGCAGATGAACCCATTGGATAGGCAGACAACGACTCAACGGGGGATGGTACACCTTCAGGTGTATCGAAATCTATAACAGCACTGGGTGGGCCATTAAATTGTCCATTATAGGCCAAGACACGGGCAAAGTTCTTTGAATCGGGTTTGAATTGTGTTACCAAGGCCTGATTGGAATCACCCTTGACATGAATTTCACGCATACCTTCCTCACCCTCCTTTTCGGTCCAGGTTTGGATCTTGTAACCCTTAAAGTGACCGCGTATGGATTCAGGGCTAACAGGGTTCCAGTTCAAAATGGCCGAGGTGGCTCCCACCACTTGGGTCATGCTGAAATTTGTGGGGGCCTCCAAAGGACCTGTAACGGAAATTAAAAACCACATTAAAATTTGTATACATATAAAAATATAATTTGTTGCAATACTTACGATCTTCTCCGGACCAACCAACCACTTCTTCGGCAGCAACATTGGCCTGACCCATTTGATTAATGGCCACCACTTTGATAAGATAACGCACAAATGTCGGCTGATCACCAATTACCAAACTATCCTGTTTCCAATCATAGATGTCCTTGTTTTCCCAACTGGCAGCAGGTATATCACGTTTCCAGGATACACGATATTGGAAATTGGGTCCATTGTGATCGATCTGGGGCATTGCAGTCCAGGTGATTACCAAATTTGTGGGCTCAGTACCCTGACCTTGGACATTATCGGGATTCTTATAGGGTACATCAGGTTGTGTGGTACAAACTTCACTATGATCCGATGGTGGTGAGGGTCCAATTTTATTAAATGCAATCACTCGGAAGGTATAATTGGCCCATGGAGACATATCCACAACGAACGAGGTATCTGTAGAGGGTACCTTTTCGTACGCAGCATCCCAAGTGGCTGGGGCAAATGTCGTATTATATTGGATGGTATAATGCAGGATGGGTGAACGATTATCACCACGTGGTTCCCAGGTGATTTCAGCCAGACGGGGTTTACATTTTACACTCTTCAAGGCCGGGGCATTGGGTACATCTTGTACAATAAGATTGGCACTTCCTGAGGCCTCATCCAATTCAGTTCTGGCCACACAGGTATATTCTCCGGAATCTAATTCAATCGTCTTGGCAATGGTCAGGGAGTTATCGTTGGTCTTCACGAAGCGGGCCTCGGCATCGAAATCAATTTGTTGGGAATCCTTCCACCATTCAATGGTCAAATTTAGGGTATCGTCATGGGCCTCATTACAACGGAATGTGGCTGATTGGCCGGCAGCAACTTCGTAATTTTGTGGGGCCTGGGTAATGCGGGTGGCTTCCTTTACTTCCAGCGAACCGTTGGCAGACTTTTCACCAAACTTATTCTTGGCATGGCAGGTGTATTGGCCGAAATCATCATGGATCACCTGTTGAATGTGTAAATCTCCCGAGGGTAAGACAGTGAAACGTCCTCCAGTCAACTCACGACCATTGTGGAGCCATTTCACTTGAGGCTTGGGTGCACCAAACACACGACAACGCATTGTTATATTCTTGCCCGTGACGGTGGCCTCCTTGCGTGGTGGTTCCTCAATCTCTGGCGGCAAAGCCAACACGTTCAAGTAAACATCCTTGTAAACGTAACCCAAAGAATTGGTGGCGTTACAACCATAATTACCCGTGTCAGTTTTCACCAAATCGTGGATAACAATGCGATTCGTTTCAACGGTTCGTCTGGGGTTTGGAGGTGCTTGGCTAATGGGTTTGCCGTTGTGGATCCATTGAATGGTAGGTTCTGGGACACCTGAAGCCTCACAACGGAATTCCACTGTCTCATCTTCGGCAGCATTTTGTATTTCGGGTTCAACGGTGAAATAGGGCACAGCTTGAATTTCCAATTTAATCGAATACGATTGACCCTTACCGACACCATTGAAAACGTCGCAGGTATAGGTGCCGGCATCCTCAAAGGTGGCATAGCGTATAATCAGCGATTTGCCATAATTACCCTGGGATATCCGATCACCCCATTGAATGGGCTCGCCATTTTTACGCCACACCGTCTCGGGCAATGGAGTACCACCGAAAATACAAAACAGTTCCACATATTTACCCCTTAGGGCCACTTCATTTTTCCTTGTCACATACTGTTGGGTGGGGGCGAATTTATTTTGCGATGGACTAATACCGGTTTGTTTAACATCCAGCAAAACACGATTACCAATTTTATATTCATTACGGAAGACCGAAGTGGCGGAACAGGTGTAGAAAGTGTCTGTGGAGGCATCTTCACGGGTAACATTCGAGAACCATAGAGTACCCTCGGGATCGAGAGTCATACGTGAACTGTTGATGGTTTTAATGCCAGCATCAAAGGTATTTTGAATTAACCAATTGACTGTGGGTTTTGGCCAACCATCCGGAGCCTGACATTGCAACGAGAAGGGCTCACCCTCATTGGCTTCGACAATTTTCTTTTCATCCTCCTTGAAGGCATTCAATTCGGCTTTGCGTACAAACACAGAATTCGAGGTGGCAATACCAAATTCATTTTCGGCAAAACATTGATATTGACCCAAATCTTCATCTTTGGGTGAAGTAATAACCAGGGTACCACGACCCGGCTGTTGCAGCATACGATTATCATAGGCTTGCCAATCGAATTTTTTGCCATTCTTTATCCAGCGGTATCTGTAAAAGAGAAGGAGAAAAAATAAAGAGGTTAATTAATTTGACTTTTGAAAAGAGGAGAAGGGAAACTTGAGGTTAAATATTTTGTTTACGAATAATTTAACTTCAGCGTAGGCAGCAGAGCAGTTTTAATTGTTGTTTTATTTTAATGAGTTGATTTCCTTTTTGAATAAATACGAGAGCATCAAGAGGAATTAACTTCTGCATAATTAATTTATGTTTGTTATATTTAACTAAAAAATGCAAAATAATGCATTAAAGCAGCAATTACCAGACTGTCTTAAACAGAAATGTGTAGTAACGCCTGCTTTTTGGCGGGCCAAAACAAGAATAAACAAACATTCATATAGGAGCTGTCAATGTAATCTCTTTCATGAATGAGATATGAAGAGAGTCTCTTTTGCATACATGCAGAAGGAAGTCTCTTTCATAATGAGTCGTGAAGGGATTGCCTTTTGCATGCGTGAACTGTGTCTCTTCTTATAGATTAACTGTGAAGGCAGTCTCTTTTAGAATATGAGATCTAAACGGGGTGCTCTTCTAATTATGGACTCTTTTACATAGTGTTTTGATGCAAGTCATGATGTGAATGATACATGATATCTACAAGAAGACAACTATATTTTGTACGAGCTCTGAATAAAGTAAATGGGAGATAATCATCAAAAATGATTGACGAAAAGAGAAAAAAAGAGAATAACTGTTTAGCCATCACTGCTATCTTACTATTTGTGTATTGTGCTTGAGTGACGGTATTTTATTTTGTATAGGCCTAATATATGAGCCTTTTTATAGACCGGTGGAAGACAAAGGGGATTTTAACCTTATATGAAAAATTACAAATTTCCAAGAATAGATTTTTTCAATATTCATAATGTAACATCTTAAGTAAACATTTTATTCTGGAGTCACACAGTTTGACCTTCTCTGCTTTCTTGCAAAATTTTCCTTTTCCCTGAAAGAAATCCATTTTTACTACATTAAGTAATTGTGATTAAATTGTGTGTGTGTGCGTGTAATATTCGCCACACAATCCGAAACAGCTTCCTACAAATTGTCCATATGGAGCAAGATGGTCGGTGGTCTAGTCTGGACGGAATCGCTCCGGCCACAGACAATAAATATTAAGTAATACTCGTAATGAAAATGAATTGAAATAAATTATGAAAAGATAAAAAAAAAACAAAAGAAGAAGAGTACTAGTACTTTATATTATTTTATTGTTCGCTATTTATTATAAACGGTTAACTAGTAGCAGTAGGGACAAGATTTTGAAGAGCTCTTTTGTCAAGAATTTTAAAGGAGGCAACTAGAAATGAATATGACAATGAGTAGGGCGGCCCACTTCTAATGGCCATGGAATATGAAGTGGAGAAAAAACTGAAGCATCATTTTTAAGGATGGTATTGTAATACAAATTAAATTAGGACGATCAGTCATAGGGAGTCCGTTGAGGAGATGAGTAGCCTATAGGTATGCTACAAAAAGAAAATGTGGTGTCGAAGCCCTCAAAAAATCGTTTTAAAAAATTCAGGGCCTGAAAAAATATTTATTTTTAAATCTACTCACTGAAAAATGCCTATTAAAAAATCTAAGCCCTGAGAAGAATATTAAAACTCCTAAATGTATGCTACAAAGTGGAAATATGGTGCATATTAAAATCTAAGCTCTTGAAAAAATTAGTTTTAAAAATCCAGGCCCTGAAAGAATATTTGTTTTTATAAATCTACCCCTGAAAAAATATCTTTTTCTAAATCCACGCACTGAAAAAAATAAATCTCAAAAAAATCTATGCCCTGAAAATGAGTAGAAGAAAATGATTTGGCCCAAAAAATTGGAAACAATATAAAGGGGCCTAAATGTATGCTACAACAAGAAATATTTAAAAAAAAGTTTTAAAAATTTCAAGCCTGAAAAAAATATATTTTTAGAAATCTGAAAAAAATATGTTTTAAATCCACGAACTTGAAAAATAAGAGAAGGCAGACGGGTCCTAACTTCGGACTTGATCTAGGCTCCGTAAAGATAATAGGTTGTGCAAAGTTTGGTTCAAATCGGACGTTCGATTCGCCTGATATTGGATTTATAAATAATGAACATTTTGACCATTTGTGGGGGAGGTACCAGAAGGAGTGGACCAATCTAGGCTAGATAAATATATTAGACTGTTGACCCGGCCCCACGTTGGTCGCCAATGTAGCAGCTCGTGAGCGGAGCTGGTATGGCTTCATCCGAAACAGCAAGATTAACTTTATACTCATTGTTTAGGAATTGCTTTCAGCTTATGATCTGAGTCCATCAACTTTGGTAAGCGTGGGTAATGATCTTAAGCCTTCAGAGTTCGCTAAACGAATCAGAGTCGGGGAGTCCGGACTCGGAGTGTGGCGATTTTATTGAAAATATATTGAGCTTAGGTACTACTTATGAGAAGCAAGATCCTTGTCTAGCATTGGTTGTAGTAATATCAGTGATGTAGTTTTTGGTACTATTTACAAAATTTTTACAAAGTTAACCGTTAAATTCAAATGTTTAAAACAGAGTTGCATTTTAGTACTTAAATGATTAATAAAACGTTTGTGTTTATACTATAGTAAATCCGTTTCAAAATGTTTTTAATTTTACTGATTTTTATTTTTCTGCTCAAAAAAAGCACTTAATTTTTTTTTTTTAAATTCGCCTCAATTTTTTAATGTAATTATTATTTATTTTTTTTAAATTCAATTTTGTCAGTAGGACGTACATTCAGGAGAGAACAAAATAATAACTTCATGAAATTCTACCATTCCCCCACGACCCCAACCCCCCTTTTTAACCCAGGTCGGCGGCCTAACAATCAACTCGATGCCAATTTAGCCTTGAGCGTTTGAATTATTTATGTAAAAGAACCCAGATAATTACATACATACACAAACGTAGCATACATTTCCCAAAACAGGCGAATACGCATGAAGTCATCAAATGCTATAGAATTTGATTACCTTAGCTGTGGCATATATACACAAACCCATTTACCTACATACATACATATGTATGTAGATAAATTCATGTATACACCGTTTTTTCCATTTGATGTCATTCACTCCCCCCCAGGTCCGCACACCCCTCCCCCGCCTTCGAAAAAATGTTGGTATCTTACAAACAATGATTGCATACTCAAAACGCTCGCTCGCTTGTTCGAATACTACACACATAATATTCAATTCTAAAACTTCTATTCGCATTATTATTGGCTTTGTTTGGTGTTTGTCAGAGATTCGACTTTTGTTGTTGTTGTTCCTATTGTTGTTCCATTCCTTTTGTCTTGTGTTCAATATTCAAGCTTCTAAACAAACGGCCTACCACCCGAACCTCTTCCACAAACAGCATACCCAAACCAAACATTGAGTCACACACAATTCGAGCCACAAAAAACAAAACTTTTTTCTAGGTTTGAGTAAGTAGGTCAAGATGAGGTGGAGAAATGCCGACCAGACACCAAACCATCAACCATTTATATAGGAATATTTACAAACATACACTCCACTCCTCCATCATTCCCAGCTTAATTCCAATAGAATACTCAAGAGCACAGTAGGTATTTTGCATTTGTTTATTTTGTTTTGGTGATGGCAAAACAAGGAACAATTTCATGGGGTTTTGCCTATCGAGGAAGATTATTAGTTATTGTTGGGGAAATAGAAAGGATTTGATTTTTATTTTAAGGGAAATTTTTACTTGAAATTTTATATTGACATTTTTGAATTAGTGTAGGATTGAATTAAATCAAGACACAAAGTTATTTTTTTTTTTTTTGAAACTGAGAATGGGGGTCGCCTTAAATGGCTTTAAATAAAGTCTTATTTCGTTTTTGGAATATTCAATATAATAGAAAAAATAAAAACAGATTTTAAGTTATGGCGCCTAAAAGTATACATCACACATTGTAACATTAACAGCTGACTGTATTTATTTATCGCTTAGCGCATAAAACTATGTAGCAAAATAAATACCAAAGATTTGAGATTTTTCTAATAATTACAATATTTTGTTGAGATTTGGAATTCTAAAAAAATTCCGATTTTAGGTAAATGGTGCATTAAAGTCTTTCGATTTGCACGATGGTATATCGAACTGTATTGAGTCTAGAATAATGTGTCGATTCAGATTTAGATATAGCTCCCATATATATTTTGATCCGATTTTAGGTTAATGGTGCATCAAAGTCCCTATATATCTTTCGATTTGCACAAAATTTGGCATGGCGTACAGAATTAAGTCTAGAATGATGTATGCTAAGTTTCATGAAAATCGATTCAGATTTAGGTATAGCTCCCGTATATATTTTCGTCCGATTTTAGGTAAATGGTGCACCAAAGTCCCTATATATCTTTCGATTGGCACGTAATTTGGCGTAGCGTACTGTATTGAGTCTAGCATAATGTGTGCTAAGTTTCGTGAAAATCGATTCAGATTTAGATAAAGCTTCCATTAACATATTTGTCCGATTTAATGTAAATGGTGTATCAAAGTCCCTATATATCTTTCGATTTGCACGAAATTTTGTGTAGCATACTGAATTGAGTCTAGAATGATTTGTGTTAAGTTTCGTGAAAATCGATTCAGATTTCGATATAGCTCCCATATATATTTTTGTCCGATTTAAGGTAAATGGTGCACCAAAGTCCCTTAATATCTTTCGATTTGCACGAAATTTGGCACGGAAACCGAAAAAAGCTTAGAATGATGTGTGCTAAGTTTCGTGAAAATTGGCTCAGATTTCGATATAGCTCCCATATATATTTTCGTCCGATTTAATGTAAATGGTGCACCAAAGTCCCTATATATCTATCGATTTGCACGAAATTTGGCATAGCGTACTGAATTCAGTCTAGAGGGATGTGTGTTAAGTTTCGCCAAAATCAGTTCAGATTTCGATATAGCTCCCATATATATTTTTCGGCCGATTTAGGGGAACCCCCTATTCTCGATTTTAAATTTTCAAGATTTTCAATGTTTTTGAA